TGAACCTCATCAGGTTCCTCTCTGTCCAGCTTTCCAGCCTATCCAGGTCATGCTGAATGGCAGCACAGCCTTCTGGTGTATCTACCACCCCTCCCAGTTTGGTGTCATCAGCAAACTGGCTGAGGGCACATTCTAACTCTTCATCCAGGTCGTTGATGAAGAAGTTAAACAAGACTGGGCCCAGTACTGACCCCTGAGGGACACCACTTGTTACCAGCCACAACCAGACTCAGCGCCGCTGATGCCAACCCTCTGAGTTCTGCCATTCAGCCAGTTCTCGATCCACTTCACCGACCACTCATCAGAGCAGAGGGGGAGGAGACCCTCCCTCACCCTGCTGGCCTCACTCCTCCTAATGCACCCCAGGAGACCATTGGCCTTCTGGGCAGCCAGGGCATGCTGCTGGCTCATGGTGAAGTTAGATGGTGAAGTTAGATGGGATGATGTCTGGTCAGCTGCTACTCAGAAAGCCGTCTGTGCCCCGAGGGTGCCTGGCTCTGTTTCGGCAGAACTCTGCAGGTATCTCCGTAGTAGCTATTCAAATGCCAAGCAGACAGTCAGGAAGAGGTTCCAAGCTTGAAGAGCTCCATCTAGTCAGCCAAAACCCAAAGTGAGCAGGAGGCACATAGTTGTGTGTTGAAGCTCAGGTTTTTTCACGTGTGGTGGTAGGGCACTCTGAAGGTCCAGGTCAGCGATGCTGTCCAGACCCTCACGTCTGTGGCAGTGAGGGAACCTGCGAGTGTCCAAATAGTTCGTATCATGTACTTGTAGCTTCTTATGACTGTTCCCCAGATGACTTGTGCTCTTTGGTTTTGACCTCTGAGGCTTCTTGGGTCAGACGCTAGCTGGAGATCTTTGATGACCGATTCAGAACGGAGGTTGTGGTGGTGTGGGTGAGCCCCATCTGCAGAGGTCTTCTCCCAAGCACCAGCTTAAAAAAAACCCTACAAAGTAGTTCATGACTCCAGGATGGGAGCCTTGGCTTGGAGGCAGTCTTGGCAGAGGCCATCTCGTGTGTATCCTGTGAAGGTTCAGGTCGTGGTGCAAGGCCGAGGCTGCATCTCCTGGAGCAGTCGAGGAACTCGTTATTGCCCAGACAGCCTTAACTGGTGGCTTTACGGAGAGCTTGCAGCGTCTGCCAGCAATACCTGCAGCCGCTGGGGAGAAGAGCTCACCTGATGCTCTGACCTTCTTCAGCTTTAGCACTGAAGGTGCAACTCCAGCTCGGCTTTTGCAGAGCATCTTGGAAAGCTGGGGGTCGAGCAGGCTACCAGGAGGTGTGTTCCTCCAGCCTCAGCTCGGTTTCTCGTTTGTTTGGATGGCTGTGTTTTGGATGCAGAAGGAACTCGGGGCTTCCAGCTGGTAATTCGTGTTCTTCTCTTGCTTTATATCTAACCAACAGCCAGCTCTCGCGCTCAAACGCTGTTCATATTTTGTTTAGCACCGAGCTGGGCAGCTGCAGTTGGGCTCTTGAGGAGCAGCAATACACTTTCTTTCTGTGAGAAGGTGAAGAAAGTGTTAAGAGTTTATCTTTGGTCAGTTCATTGCTCCACTCTTCAGTACAAACCTGCAAGTACCACACCAAACTGGGAGGAGTGGTGGACACACCGGCAGGCTGTGCTGCCATCCAGCGAGACCTGGAGAGGCTGGAGAGTTGGGCAGAGAGGAACCTG